CAGAGGTTGAGTCCAGCATCCAACAAAAGTTCTCGCAAGTTATTTGATCAAGCCAATAAGCTCAAGAAAACTTGTGCACATCTTTTTACAGGTAAGTGAAGTTTAAGCTCATCTATGTTCAAAAGTGAGAAAGAGAATTAAAAAAATGAAAGAAGTAAGAAAATAATCTGAATGTAGAGTTTGAAATTGTGCTTGTGACTCCTTCAAAAGTAGTTAATGATATCAGGTATACTAGGCCATGATATTCGTTTATTTATAATACAAACTTTATAATTTTGACTACTTGGATGATCAAAATGATCCGTGATGTGGTTGTCAGTGATCATTTTGAAGAGGTTCAGACTTTCATGGGGGAATACAAGGCTAGTTATCGAACTTACCTCACTGCCCAGCACCCACAGCTCTAGATTTTGTATCATTGTTCTCTGCTGACCATCAATGCATAACTTACAAAGTGAGAGGAACTTGTCTTAATTATTTAAAAACGTCCCCCCAGAAGAAACTTGAAGAATTTGGATATTGGATGATTTTAAGGATTTGTTATTTTTCTTTTTTTATGTATGATGATAATGTGTGTTTGTATTTTTTTAGTATTTATTTTTTAGTTATAGGTGAACACAATATCTGTATTTTATTTGTATGTGGTGCTGAGGATCAAACCCAGTGCCTCACTCATGCTAGGTGAGTGCTCTACCTCTGAGCCACAACCCTAGCCTGTGATTGTATTTTAAAAAAACAAAAGAATGCTTATCTTTTAGAGATATATACTAAACAAAATACTTATGGATGATGTAGTAAAATGTCTAGAATTTGCTTCTGTAATCTTTAGGGAGGGGAGAAGATGGTATATAGAAAAGGCCAGACTGGCTAGGAATTGGTAGTCGTGAAGTTGCTTGTTGTGTATATGAGTTCATTAAACTGTCCTTTGCTTTTGTGCATGTTTAGAATTTTCCATAACAGGTTTTTTTTAAGTCCCTGAAATAAAGACCCATTGCAGCTATTACTCATGAAACTAAAATGGTCTAAAAATATGGCATATTTTAGTAACTGAATATATGTCTGTCTATATAAATGACTAGTTCTGTGAATATGGTATAATTAAGAGTTTAAATGAGTTACATAAAATTTTTGGTCATGCAAGTGCTGTATTTTCTGGGAGCATTATGAGGATACTGCACAGATGTAATACCCATGCAATAATGATGGCTCTTTAGGGTTCAGTGCCAGTTATCATCAACCTTTGTCATATTTGGCATTTCTCTGATACTGAGGAGGAAGTGGGTTTGTAAGTGTGTGTGTGTGTATGTGTGTGTGTGTGTGCCTCTTGTTTTATTGTCACTTGGCTGCTTGTTAAAGATGTATCACTTTCACTCTGGTAAAAACTGACAGTTCAATGAAATGCACAGGAGGAAATGATCCATCATAAAGCTAGATTTCTGGGCATTGTTGAGGTTGTGCTGTTAGCATGAGCATGCATATCTTTTCTGTCATTTTACAACCACTAGTAGTAGTTATTATTATTACTGTTTCCATAGCAGCAGGGAACAGTGGTCCGGCCTTTCATATGTTCTCTTTTAAGGCTAGAAGACAGGCCCAGTGATGTCTGCACAAAGATCTTAGTGTAGAAGCCAAGCACAGTGACACATGCATGTAGTCCCAACTATTCAGGAGACTGAGGCAGGAGACTTGTTTAACAATTAAGAGTTTAGAAGAGTTACATAATTTTTTTGGTCATGCAATCCTGTATTTGAGGACAGCCTGGACAACTTAGAGAGATCATGTCTCAAAAACTGTACTCTCTAGTATCTGTGATGCTGTGTTAATACCACATGTACCTTATAGCACAGACATACTATTCTAATGTGAAAAAAGGATCATATACAGGTTGATTATTCCTTATCTAAAATGTTTACGATCAGAAATGTTCTGGATTTGGGATTTTGGAGTATTTTCTTATACATAATGAGGTATCTTAGGGATGAGACCCAAGTCTAAACACAGAATTAATTTATGTTTTATGTATACTGTAGATATATAGTCTGAAGGGAATTTTATAACAATATTTTAAAGACATTTCCCACAAAACAGAATTTCACGGTGTGGAGTTTTCTACTTGTGACATGGTTTGGGCTTTCTAAAAGTTTCAGATTTTGGAGCATTTCACGTTTTTGATGTTTAGAACAGCCAGTAATGCAACTCTTCCTTTTACCAGATAAGAAAACTGAAGCCTAGGTCCTCATGAGTGATTAAAACCCGCTCCCACTTCATTTTTAACCCTGCCTTGAAGTCCACTGAATGGCTAGAAGCTTCCCTCAGACATTCTAATTCGGGTTCATGTGAGGATGTGAGAAATGAGGAAGGGTAATAATGGGTTATAGAAGAACCAGGCTGATGAAGGATGGATGGAAAGGAGAGCAGGCCAGAGGAAGTGGCCAGGGACTGTAGGCACTCTCTTTTCTTAGCTTTGGGTCAGCCTTGTTTTCTCTTTGAAGCACAGGTCACAATCAACTTCTGATTGAGGATTTGGGGGGCCTCCGTGGGTAGAGCATTTAGCAACCCCTCATTTAGCTCTGTGACAAGATGTTTAAAGGCAGAGAGTGTACATTATCCACTTCCATGTGTCTGAGACCAGCATCAGGCCTAGCAAACAGGCAGAGTACAAATGTGTGTAACATAGGTTATAACCCCTTCTGGGCTGGGTATAGTGGAGCACGCCTGTATTCCCAGTGGGAGGGAGGCTGAGGCAGGAGGATCGTGAGTTCAGAGCCAGCCTCAGCAAAAGCAAGGTACTAAGCAACTCAGTGAGACCCTATCTCTAATAAAATACAAAATAGGGCTAGAGATGTTGCCCAGTGGTTGAGACCCCCTGATTTCAATCCCTAGCAAACCCACCCAAACCAAACTAACCAACCAAACAACAACAACAACAACAACAACAAAAACCCCCAAAGAACCCCCCTGGGTACACCAGGTCACTTCTTGTGTAAGCTAGACAGGAAGTTGAGAGCCAGAGGTTGAAGTGTAAACACCAGGCATCGAGTTTCTTCTAGAACTTTGAAGGGACCTAATCCCAATACGAATTGCCAATCTGTTACATAGAATCATCTTAAGTGCTGCAGCAGCGTGCCGCACAACTTTGGTCAGCAAGCCCCATTTTCTGTCCAGTGGTCTTTGATAATTTTCTTCTAGATTTCCAAGTTTGACTCCTCAAAGCTGAACAATGTCCTCACCAAGCCCTGTGTTCCTACCCCAACCCCCAATCAGTCTGACATCTTGGGACTTACTGGTATGTGCCATGACCAGAAATACTGGTTTTCAAACCTAAACAGCAGAATCTTAGGCAGAATTAATAGTTATGGTTTTTTTATGATTTTAAATTCAGGGTATTTTTATGAATTAATAAATGAGAATGATAAAGGTTGCTGTGAAGAACCCAGCACTTTGAAGTCAAGTTTTATGTTTCATGTAGTCTCATTAAGTTCAATATCCTATTTTCCCCCTTTCTACATAGTAACAAGAAAACCCTCTTTTCTAAATATGAGTATTTAGTAATGGCAATATTAAATGTCTTTCCTTATAATCTCGAGAGAGTCCCAGTTAAACAAGAAACACTTTGTTCTGAGATTTGCCCAAAACCAAGTTGACTTGTCATAGTAAGTTGTTACACTTGCCTTCCCTTCTCAATTTATATATTTAGAAGTGATTTATATTGTTATGTCCTCTAATAATATATGAGATAAGATACATTTACATGTACATGTTACAAGAATTATTTTTTTTTAAAAAATGAAGCTTGAATTACATGTGTTTTTAGGGTCTTCAAAGTGTTGAGTTCATAGTTGGAAGACCACTGAAGTGGAATTATGGACTTAGAAACCCACCCTCCATGTTAAGTTGTGGCCTTGTGAAGTACTGTGGGATAGGCTAGCTGTTTGGTTAGTTTTCTAGGCTTCAGTAATGTGAATTTGAATAGTTTAGTCCTGGGACTTTGGAAGGTGCTGAACAAATACGACTGATTATTATGAGTATATATATTATTTTATACTTATTCATCTTTCATCATATTGTAAAAAACAAATCTCTATACCTTTATTTTGTCTTTAAAAAAGCTTGGGAGAAAAGTGAATCTTGTACCAGCCGAGAAAATGCAAACTGCAGTAGATGATTGTCAGTTTCCCCAGGGAGTGTACAGTCTGTTGACCACAGGAAGCAGACAAGGATGAGAAGTTGTGCTCCTAGCAGGCACTTTGCTGTTGCTTGCCCACCTAGCACTTCAGTGTTGACATGGCCACGGGAACAGCTTTATTGAGATATAACTTACATATCGGTGTCCCCATTTACAGTATCCACTTCATGGTTTTTCATATATATTCAGAGTTGTGCAGCCATCAGCACAATCACTTTTAGAATGTTGTCATAATCTCAAAAGAAACATTTGTGCCCAATTAGCAATCGCTCCCAATTTCTCCCCAACCCAGCACTGCGTTACCCTTTGCTGCTGCTCTTCGTGCTTTCAGCCTCCTTGTCTGGGGTTGGGATAGCACAGACCACACTCACAGCAGGCATGGATGCTCTGGAGTCCCGGTGCTTCCAGCCCAGGGAGTGGCTGAGTGAGGATGCTTTGAGAATTTTATTTTCTTACTTTGAAAGCTTATAACAGGTCAAATGAACAAGTTAGACATTATCAACTTGGATGGGTATTACCTTTGTATGTGGCCCAGGAAATTTGCTACTGGGAAGCTCTTCTTTTTTGTTGTTCTGTACATTTGACTGTTAATATGAACTCAGTAAGAGGTTTTGTGACTTCATTCATTTTATCAAGGGGCATGAACATATTTTCTGCATTTCTTAAATGGTCTCATCAACTTTAGATTTTCTTTTCTTTTTTTTTTTAATATAGAAGTTAAGTTTCAGATTTTCTTTATGATAAATACATACTGTACTTGTAACCAGATCACCCCAACAGAGAGCTTAACATTCTTTTTACTGAGTGCAAGTCACTTATTTTGTCTCTGGGGTGCACAATCTTACTTCTGTATATAAGTGCATTGCATCATATTTTAGCGATAAGCACGCTAATCTTTGTGAAGTACCATGATAAGGACACAAAAATCCATGGCATCAAGGTTAATTTTCATTGGGTTGCCTGATGGATCGGTTTGTTCTAATGTTGTAAATAATTAATAACCAAGGAAATTGTAAGCTCATTCAGGATTTTCCAAGGTCAGTGTTGAAACTTCTTAAATGAAAGAAAACTATATATTACTCTGAAGGAAATTTAAAGTTGCTCACATAGTTGCTTAATGGTTCTTTGGGGCCTTAGAAGTGATATATATTATTATGTCCTCTAATAAAAAGCCATGGCAGCTTTTTTTTTTTAATTCCAATTTGCCTGCAGTCTGATAATTTTAGACACAATTTAATCTTTTATTTTGGACCATTTTACTTGTCTGGTTTATCTCCAGTACATATGGTAAAGAGCAACTGAATATGTTGCACTTTGTTAGCATTTTATGTATGCTCTAAATTTGTGTCTTCCAAGGGCTGTGTGGTATATTGGCTAAGACCATGACTCCAAGGACAAACTTCTGAGTCTGTGTCCAGGCCCTTTTCTTATTTGATGTGAAACCTTAGGTGAGTTAATTTCACAACTGTGCCTTGGTTTCTCATCAGTAAGACGCTCTTGACAGCAATACTTCCCACATAGAGTTTATGTACTTAGAATAGTTTTTGGCTGACCCAGAGTAAGTGCTATTATGTGAGGTATATTTTGTTCTAAATAGAAAAATATTCATTCTTTGAATATATACCAGCCAAGCTTGGTTTATCTGTTTGTACATTCTAAAGTGTTGATGACTCTCAAAATGATATAAAGTGTTCCTAATAATTAATGTATTTTCTTAGAGGCAGACAGTAGTATATTAGTGTTTATTTTTCTTATTTATCATATTCATATCTATGTAATTTCTTCTTTTTTAATTTTTGAGTCCAAGTCTTGCTAAGTTGCTGAGGCTGGCCTTGATCTTGGACTCCACCAGCCTCAGTCTGCCCGTCACTGTGATTATAGGCGTGTGCCACTGTGTCCCACAGTGATCTTTAAAATATAATTTTGTTTTAGACTTGCTGTGCTGCTGAAAATGTATTGTTTTAAAAATAGAATTTTTAGAGGTAGCATTTCTAAAGAATAGATGTTCTGGAAAAAAACCCATTATTAGTTTTATAACACCTGCCTGTAATGTAAGTTGTAACAACTAGGTGGTTAATTATATTCAACTAAAAGGATTTACATAGGCTTTTTTAATATACCAGAGTTTTATATTCAAATACGACAGAAAGACATGAATTATGTTAGAGAGCTTCTTGAAAAAACATTACTCTGAAAATTGATGTAAATCTTTTTGTTTACATTTATATAGCTATAATCAACCTCAGTTCAGCCAATGATAGCTGGTTTGGCAGCTTGAAGGACACCATTCAGCATCAGCAAGGAGAAGCAGTTTGGGTCTCTGAAGGAAAGGTATGTGGCCTAGACGTGCTGCTGTGAGGTGAGAGTTCGTGTTCTGAATCTTCCTCAAGAGGGCAGTGAATGTAGTAAAACCATGGCCAGAGTGATTCCAATATGTGTTTTCCTCAAGTCTGAAATCTTACAAACTCTCCAACAAAGTAACAAATGGTGTTTTATTTTGTTATTAATGCAGAATGTGATGTATGTGGCCCTACATTCACTCCCCTTTTACTTTTAATGTAGTAACTAGTATTGTATTTCAAGTACACTAATCAGAGCTTACAAGATCTTGTGCTGAACTCCAAAGCTTACTAAGGACTTGGGAAACTTAGAGTGGAGATGAGAGGCAAGGTTGAGGACCATGGAGAACATGATTAAAAATTAATACCCAAAGAAAAGCTAATGGAATTAGAATTATTTGCTTAGAAAAGAGGTTGATAGAGAATGGGCCATAGTTCTAAGAGTCTGAATAGGTGATATTAAAGTGCTAGGCCTCTAAAATTGAGTAGTATCTCTTCCATAGAGAGATTTTATGCATGACTGTGCTACAGAGAAAGATTGTAGAACCTGTGATCCCCTTCATTCTGGGAGTCTTTGGTGCTAGCGTCCTGTACCCAGCTGAATTGAGGTAGTTTGTGAGCCTTTCTAGTGATGATTTTGTTGCAGAATTGATTAAGTCTTGCACTTTGGGAACTGGATGGTTAGTCTAGGTATCCATCTATAAGCATCTTCCAGGTGCTTATACTCTGCAAGGCTCCCTGGGGAGGATAAGTCGCACAGGGATCTGAGAATCTTTTTTTTTTTTTTTTTAAAGAGGGAGTGAGAGAGGAGAGAGAGAGAGAGAATTTTTAATATTTATTTTTTAGTTCTCTGCGGACACAACATCTTTGTTGGTATGTGGTGCTGAGGATCGAACCCGGGCCGCACGCATGCCAGGCGAGCGCGCTACCGCTTGAGCCACATCCCCAGCCCGGGATCTGAGAATCTTGTAGATGAGTGGAGATGTGTGTAGCACGGGGCAGTGTACATTTATTACTAAGGGACAGATACCAGGAGAAAAGGCTGAGTGAAGCTGGATTACGGAAGAAAAGCACAACCACCAGAGGAAGTGTGGCTCAGTTGTGGATGGATGGTAGCAAGGATAGGCTGGAGGGTTCCTAAGTGGAGTCCCTGAACCACACTTGACTTGGTGACAACATTGAGTCAGAGCCAAGTGATTTCAGGAAAATAAAGGAACCCTCCCCATCTAGGGTGTGTCAAGGTTTCAGACACATGGCCATGTCTCTGGGAGTTTCCTTGAGTCCACACTCCCAAGAGCCACATCAGACCCCACTGACCCTCCCAAAACAAATTCCTCTAGATGGAAGGGATGGATGATGACCCCGAAGACCGCATGTCCTACTTAACCGCCATGGGCGCGGATTATCTGAGTTGCGACAGCCGCCTCATCAGTGACTTTGAAGACACGGACGGCGAAGGAGGTGCCTACACTGACAATGAGCTGGATGAGCCGGCTGAGGAGCCGCTGGTGTCTTCCATCACCCGCTCCTCCGAGCCGGTGCAGCACGAGGAGGTGAGGCGAGGCTGGCACCGGGCTCCAAGGCCACGGGCAGGAAAGGAGAGTCTTGCATTGTCCCACTTGAATTCTTCTGGACACCTGTTAACTCAGGGGCTTGTGGAAGGTATTCCTAAGGGTTGGAGCAGACTGCCAGGGAGTTTTCACTCAAGAGTCAGCACCTACATCATTGTGGCTGCAATCCCTGGGAAAGTGGGACCCAAAAGTGCCATCAGCAGAGGTTGAGTGTTCAGTGCTTGTCACACCCCTGCCCTCGGTTGTGATGGATAAATGGAATGGCTTTATGTGCCAGCTGTTTAAATTATAAGTTGAACATTCTTTTTAAAAAATACGGTATTGCTGTACTTACTTGTAACCTTTGATTAGGTCTCTCTCTCTTTGTACTCTTAGGAGCCCTTGCTTTTCTTCTCCACTCTGCCTTTAACCTTCTAATCTTGTCAAAGCTCCTGAGTATTTCCACATCAGTTTCCTCCTCTTTTCTATTTCAATTTTTAATTGCAATTATGATCAATTATACATCTAATTATATGTACCATGCAACCAGTATCCAGTGATTTGACAGCTTACGTGGTCCTAGAAATTACATAGGCATTAATTTAGGACCAGAGCAATTGTTAGTTGCAAATTTAGAGAATATCAGAATAATGATCTTTGTAGACAAGGTTACCCAAATATATTTGGATAATTATTGCTATAAACTTCCCTTTAGCAACTTAACTCATTCTAATGAATGACACTTTTCTTTATGAAATAGAATTATATAAAAAAAAATAAGTTGAAGGGGGAGAAAAACTCACACCACCACCACAATAAAAAATTAGTATATATTGCTAGACAAGTTGTAAATAGTAACTTCTGGCTGGGTGCAATGACACACACCTACAATCCTAGTGGCTTTGGAGGCTGAGGCAGGAGGATCACAAGTTCAAAGCCAGCCTCAGCAACTTAATGAGGCCCTAAGCAACTTGGCGAGATCCTGTCTCAAAATAAAAAATTAATAAATTTACAAAAAGAATAAAAGAATAACTTCTGAATATCTGCAGATATAAATGAATGAATGCTTTAGTAATGTTAATAGTTATTAATGACACACTAGATGTTAGGAGGTTTTTTTTTTTTTTGTAATTCTACTTCAAAGGCAGAGTCTACTACACTGGATGCAGCCAGCATCATAAATGTGTCTTAAGCTCATAGGAGGGTACCCCAGTATCTATCTGCTTTTTCAGTAAAGGAGCTCTGGCTCACACTTTTATTTCTGAACTCCAGCAAAGCAGACGAGTGCTCTCTGCTCTCTGCTTGGATGTTCTTGTTGTGAATGAACGTTTATGTTTTGTAGAGCATAAGGAAACCCAGTCCAGAGCCACGAGCTCAGACGAGGAGGGCTGCTAGCAGAGATCAACTTAGGGACAGTAGCCCGCCCCCGGCATTCAAACCTGAGCCGCCCAAGGTACGTGGCTGGGAAGCCCAGGCTGGGGACCAAGAGGAAGCAGGTGTTCCCAGACCCCCTGGATAGCCAGCGAGGAGCTATGAGATGGTGTTGGATTATGGTTTTGA